CCCCCCCCCCCATTTAAGGTTCCTTTGGGGATTAGTGAATTTAACCATAAAACTGAGAAAAATCAAATGAGGGAATGTACCAGTTATATTATTTGACTGAGATCACTGAATATAAATATTAAATGGGGGTATACCTTAAATCTGTGGGAACATCCCACATCATCATGCATTTGTGCAACGCTCGCACTCAGACAGCTAACTCCGCAACATTAGTCAACACACTGCAGCTCCCACATTACACCCCCACGGAGATGGTTGCTCAGCTGTTGAAGCAATCAGGAAAAGGTTTGCTTGCACAGAACGGTCGCTGGAGTGGTGAGGCGGTAGCAACGCCAGTTGCCCAGTGCGTCTGACATGACTGCCGGCTAGTTGAGGCAGCCCAGTGAGTCGGGCATGCCAGCAGAGTGACGAGGCGGCCATTCCTGGCGCAGCGCAAGCCGAAGACTCCCGAAGAGCGAGCGTTGGCGACGAAGTGTGCTGGCAGATGTTGCTTGAGTGAAGACTGATCGTACACTGAAGATGCCGGGTCAGAGCTACTCCTTTTATACGATGCTCGATGGCGGAGCAAAAATTTGCTGAGCGCTGATTGGCTAGCGCGTGTAATGATGTAGATGTGGGCTAGCCGCAAGCGCTATATAAATGTGAACGTTTGAAGCAATGTGATTGGTTAGTGCGCGTGATGGTGAAAAGTGAGCTGAATAGCGAGCGTTGCACAAATGCGAGATGATGTGGGATGTTCCCCCAAATCACAGAACGTCAAATGGGGGTTTCAATGAACTGAGATGTGCTTCACCCGAAGTTATCTTGTTCCATCTTTAATGCCTTATTCCCTGTCATCTGAACCATTTTAAAAATCTACTTTTGATGTAGTTTCATGGGATGCATACAATCACAAATAACAGTTTGAACTTCGTAAAGAGGGTAGAAGAATGTTTTTACTAATGTTTCAGTTGAATTCATATTCAAGGAGAATGCTGTTTCTAAGTGACAGAAGACAGAAAGGGTTAAACACTGTATGAAAACTGTGAAGTACTTACTCTTTACAGTAGAGTGCTACAGAGACAAACAACTTGACAACTTCCGTTAACAGAACAACAGTCACTGTATTGTAGCCGTATGCACTGTTTGAGCTTTGTGATGCTGTCACAAATATACCTGTTAAAAGAAACAAACTAATTCAAAGTTATATACACTGATACAGTTAAATAAGTAACTACATCCATGCAACAGGGTCCTCCTTGCAGAGATAATTTTTTCCAATGATGCACTCTATTCCAGAGGACCCCTTGGATTAGATCTCACTTTTGCCTAAAAATGTAAACAGAACAAGTTTAATTTCTAGTATACGCTGAAGTGCGAAAAGTCATGGGATAGATACCTAGTATTGTGTAGGACCCCCTATAGCCTGGTAAAGTGCAGCAACTTGACGTGGCATCGATTCCAAAAGTGGATGGAAGACTTCTGGAGACATGTTGAGCCATGCCGTCTGGATAGCCGCCCACAGCTCCTTGGTATTTGTAGGTGCAGGATTTTGGGTGCGAATGGACCTCTCCACCATGTCCCATGAATGCTCGATTGGGTTCATGTCGGGCGAACATGGTGGCCACACCATTCGTCGGAACTCTCCAGAATGCTCCTTGAACCAATTCTGACAACTCTGGCCTGATGACACGGTGCACTGTCCTGCTGGAATATCCCATCGTTGTGGGGGTATATGAAGTCCATGAAGGGCTGCAAATGGTCACCAAGCAGTGTAATGTAGTGGTCACTGGTCAATGACGTGTTTAGGTGGATGAGTGGACCCAACTCATGCCACGTGAACACACCCCACACCAGTATGGAACCACCATCAGCCTGCACGGTGCCTTGTTGACAACTGGGGTCCATGGACTCATGGGGTCTGTGCCACACCCTAACCCTACCATCTGCCCGAAACAACTGGTACCATGACTCATCAGACCATGCCACATGTTGCCAATCCTCCAGGGTCCAATTAGCAACGTCACAAGCCCAGGTGAGGCGCTGTGTTCGGTGTCGTGGTGTTAACAGAGGCACTCTGGTCGGTCTTCTGCTCCCATATCCCATGGAAGCTAAAGAATGCTGCACCGACCTGCTGGATATGCATCTGGTACCTCCTGCATTGAATGTGGATGTGATTTCAGCCAGTGTCACTTGTCTGTTACCACGGACCAATCTAGCTAGTTGTCGCTGGTCACGATCATTAAGCAACCGTGGTCGGCCAATGCGCTGTCCACGGTGGGTGGAAATGCCTTACACAAGGTATTCCCGGTACACACGTGACACGGTGGATCTAGGAATGTTGAATGAGCGCACAACTTCGGAAATGGAATGTCCCATCTGCCTGGCACCCACTATCATGCCCCGTTCAAATTCCGATAATTCACATCAGCTTGCCATGAGCAGACTGGCCAGTGTTCAACCTGACTCATGAGAGAATACCTCACAGCTGCTACTGCTCTGGGCATTCTCAAGCCATCAAGGGACGGTGGTGCCACTTAAAAATAAATTTACATACTGCTATCCCATGACTTTTTGCACTTGAGTGTAAAACCTAGATGACTGATAATTTCCAAGGTACTAAAACTAATCAGGTTGCACAACTGCCCCCAAAAATTCAGAAGTTGACTGTTATATTCTGACTTTCTCGAAGAAGTCCCCATCTTTTATTAACCCCATCGTGTTTGCATGAGCCCACCAAACGCACTGCTTCTTGATATCACTGAATCAAGTCCACAACTTCTCACCATTATTCTTTTACGTCAGTTTTAATATCACCTTCCCATCTATGCCTAAGTCTCTCTGGTTGTCTCCTCCCTTCATGTATTTTAGCTAATACTTTGCATATGCTTATCACCTCCCACCTATGTTGTACACACTAACCTGTTGACACAGTCTTTGCTATCACAGTTAATTACTTACAGTGTAAATTTGTAAACCAAAATATGGGTCACACTAAATGGATCATGCTTCCAAGTCAACTGATGACTGAATCACTGTTGGTCTTGTCGGAAACTGTTTAAGTATCCTGACTGTTGTATGTAACATAATAGAAGAATGTTTACAATTACAGATGGCAGTTCTGGTAAATATTATTTTACTGTGATTAACCAAATTCAGAATGGCAGGAAACTTAATGTACTTTCTTCAAGAACTCATTCGGTTTCTCAGCTATTTATTAAATATGTACTGCTACTTAATAATCAGCTCCTCAGTACAGAACAGTAGCTATTGGTCACTACAAATATCGCGACATTCAATTACATCCTGACATTTATATTAACTGCATAAAGAAATGAGTACTAATGTTGTAAGTTACAGAATAACACAGAGTATCAAACCCATTACAATCACGTACAATAACGCTGATTTATAATCATTATGAAATACTAACCTTGATTGATGAAAAGAACCATGTATGATACAAAAATGACAGCACTCAGCTTTGTTGGAAATAATTCCGACCAATTTATATTCTCAAACATGATTAATAGCAATTTCTGTGGGTGATACAAGGTTTATAAATATTCTCCCAGGCCCACTGCTGCGGTATACTTCTACTACGAATAGATAGATTCGCTACATGGTGCACCAATTATTAGAAGACACTGTAGCATATAATATTCATGTAACACTTTTCTCACATTTTGATAACTCATACATAAGCATGATCAGACCACACAACAGTACTACTGCCTTCACATTTAAGACAAAACTCTACTTCGTATCCCTGATACCACCATTAAACGCCCTAAATACTGGTCGCAGTAGTGCCAATAGTTACGTTTTCCCTTATCCTGCACGAAATTTCCTACTTCTGAAGTATATTGTGGGATGTCGTTACATGAAGAGACAATCACTTGTTGAACTGTTCTATAATATTTATTATAGTTGCACAGTATACACAGACGAACTTGAGTTTGAAGAATTGAAGACTAATAGTATAGTACCAACAATATTACTGCTTCCAACACCCATACCACACTTCTTTATAGTCAGAGTCAGAGTTACTTTACGACTGGCGGTTTACCGCCAATCAGTTCGTCTTGGGGTCAGCCCCTTGAGGCCCACGACCAGAGATTTCTTTTTTTCACCTGAATTCTTGCGCTAATAGTCCTTATGTAGCATCCGCTCTGACGAGAAGATTGGTTTGTCCCTTATGAATACACTTGACCTTTCGTCAAGTATATATTGTATTTCGTACATATAACAAGTTATCGAAAATTCTTCCTTTTGCACTACACACAAGTCCTCTGTCAGTACAGGCTTTACAGAGCAGATCATGCCTAACTTACATATCTTATGCTACAACGAAAACTTGGTCGTTTGAACGGTCGTAAGCTTGACCACCGCCAAGTTGAAACCTCTTATATTTTCTGTGTCTGGCTTCACCTTGTCCTATACCGCGAACATGTTCATTCTCATGATTTTGTATGACTTCTGCTTGTCGCCTGCACAATTTTGTTATATAATCGTATACATATGGAAAGTTGAAAGCTGTGTGCAAGTCGCGGACTGGTGTGCACCTTGGAAAATTTCCAATGGTGCACAAAACCTTGTTTTGCATACGCTGCAATTTTAGGAGGTAGGTGTCTGCAGCTAATTCCCAGGCGGGACAAGCGTAAGTCATTACTGATCTGATCAGTGCCTTATAGAGGGTTAGTTTAATATATGCGTTTAAACGCTCACTTTTGAATAGGGAGTAGATTCTAATAAATGTTCTGAAGGCCTTGGCTTCACTCATTTCTATGTGACCTCTCCGCGCAATCCTCTTATCGAAGATTACGCCCATGTATTTTACATATTTCACAAAGGGGATATTCTGCCCATTCAATGTAAGATGAGTCTGGGGGGCCTAAATCTATGAGAAAAGTAGATTGCCTGAGTTTGATCTTCATTGGTTTTTATGTTCCAGGGCTCACATCAGGTCTCAATAGCACTGAGACCTCGCTGCAGCTTTCTGAGAACACAGCCCTCCTTGCGATCTGTCACACATATACTGGTGTCGTCAGCAAAGAGACCTATATAGACACCAGGTGCTTGGGGCGTATCGTTTGTATATAGACTTTACAGTGTGAGGGAAGAGAACAGAAACTTGTGGCACTCCTGCTTGTATATCCCTTGGTGTAGACATTTCACCTTCGACTGGAACTTTGAATTTTCTCTGAAAAAAGGAAAGAGCTAATAAGCTTGATTAGACTTATCGAAAACTGAAATGTAGATAATTTATAGTATATCAGGCCAATGTGCCATGTTGTATCAAAGGTCGTGTCTCCGCGGATACACTCGTGCTGAAACTACGGTGCAATAAACGTAGTGCCTACATAGAAAGACCGATCCCTCCTCTCGTCGTAGAGAAGGCCTCTTTTTTAAACACCCACGTGTCTAGGAAAGAATAAAATATTTGGTCACGGATCTCGAGGAGACCTGAAGCCATGAATGACTGTGCTGGCGAGAACCGCAGTAATACATCGGTCCAACTGGCCGTGAGGCAGTTGATTGTCAGTCGCCGTCCTGAGCAATTGCCGCCATGACTTACCTGTGAGACGGCAGAAGAGGCCACTGTAGTAATTCGTTACCAGACAACGGCTGTTGGATACACAGGACAATGGGAAGACTTGGTATGTGCCGTACTGATTTGTAAAGTGTATAAATCAGTGAGGCTGTTAGAGTTACTTCGAGTTTCAACAGTTTAATAAATCCAATTGCCAAACCAAAGTCCACGTTAATCACTAACGCGTGAAAATATCTTCAGCAACTGAAAGAACGTCATTACATATTATTAGAACAAAACTTCGAATCTTACAGTTCATCTAAATTAGGTTTAAACATTACAATTTTCCTCAGAGAATGTAATGTGTCTCCATTTAAGATATTATTCTGTCTAATTCAGAGAATCATAAGCAGCATATCATTACAGTGTATGGCCAAACAGCAGAATCTTTTAATATTAAAACTAGCTGCACATATGTTGCTCAGGGTAATTTGTTGAATATTCCGTATGGGTTGGTAGGATGAGCCTACGTTTGGACAACACGAGATATTTAGGTCCGGAAATCTCCTGTGTACGGATTATACCAATTCTGCTCGATATATGTAGGGAAAACTAACAAGAAAAGAAAATTCATTAGCATGCTTTGCTTAACAATTAGCTTTTCACTCCCTCTTGAACCCTCTTGTCAAGTGTCGCACGCAGATTCTCTCTGGCCGCTAATGACACAGACAGAGTTGGAGCTACTGTCAAGAGCAGTGGGAGCGAAAGCGGCAGGATTTTCTTGTGAAGTATCGGGTTATCACTTGCAAGTTCTACTGTAAATTGTGTTACATTTCACTGGCCCAGAAAGGCGTAACCTCAAGCTGAAATACTCAGCTCCAGTTCCAAGCAAGTCATTTAGTCACAATCTGGACTTCTGTATTTACCTATTTCCACAGCGATTTATTAGCCCACTATCCTAAAGTAGGCTTATGCGATCTCCATGATGTCTGTGTGTATGTGTGTCTGTGAATCCCCCTCATATTAATTTTCGAATGCCTTAACCTAACTTTACGAAACTTGGTATGTATATAACCTGAGCCCATCTCAACAGCGTACTTCATAAATCCCTCTCATCAGTCTGTGTCTCTATGTGTACCCGCTTATCGTTGCTAGGCAACGGCTCGGTAAAAGGGTTAGTTAGTTAGTTAGTTATTGGAGAGGGTGGGTTACCCCATGCACCGCGACCAGTTTGATCTATTGTGCTTCCCTCTATGATATTTTACCAGTCTCTATACCCTACCGATATTGGTGCGTACCATCAGTCCCGACCGAGCCAGCGAGTTGTCTACTGACTTGGCGGTATCTATAATGCTTCCCCCATCTATGAGAGGCATTAGAGACTACTGTTGGGCGGGAAACGTCCTTGAATTTGGCTCAGTGACCTCCTTTGGAGATACGAGGTTCTTTTACGTGCCGTAAAGCTACGACACGGGACACATGGCTTAAAGTCCCTCCCGGAGGACTTCTTCCCTGAATTTTTCCGCCCTTAAAAATTCGACGACCTCCGCCGGGTTTGAACCAGCGTACCACGAGTCATGAGGTGGGAACGTTACCTCTAGACTACGGAGGTCGCTCCTCGGTAACAGCGTTACTGCCGCAACGAATACAGGTGCAACAATAGAAGAATTGTTAGACACATTATTTTCTATGCGGTTCGTGTCGTATCAAGGAAAGTAGGCGATTAGTTCTTCCCCAGAACTTCTTGTTCAAAGGAGCATTACCGAACCTAACATAACAAGCAGAACTGTCTGTTCTTTGGCAGGGATTTTGTTCCTTTTCATGCCAATGTCACAATTTGCATGATGTAACTAACACTTTAAAGATAATATATTTAAGAAATATATTTATAATAATATTTAAGAAATTTGGAATTTGGAACGAGGATTCTAATAGCATCCAAATGCACCTCTGCAATATTTGCACATCGATTTTGCAGTCGTGACTATTGTACTTATATATACAGGCATGAGCATGGCTTGAACTTAGTAATGTTCTCGGACGTTAATTATTAGCCCACGGCTGGAAACAGGGAACAGACAGAGGAATTACTTCTCAATGTATATATTATATATTTATGGTGTTATGCAGGGCCGCGCCATAGCTCAAGCGGTTAGTCGCTGGCTTCACACCGCGGCGGCTTGGGTTCGATCCCGGATCTTGTCAAGTGGAATTCGTGGTGGACAAAGTGGCGCTGGGTATTTCGGTTTCCCCTGCCAATCTTCATTCCACCAATTGCTCCACAATCACCTTCACCTATCATCTGGGGCTGGTACAATAGGCCAGAAGTGGCCGCAGTACAAGGGACTTAGGCCCACCCCACTAAACGTCACTTTTCGTAAGAAGATACAGCATTTTATTGTGTTACTGAATGTGAAGTACTAAGCTTTGGCAACACAGCTCGTCTGTAGCTTGACACTACAGTAAGGGGGATGTATAGATATATGTATTTCATTACGACAATCATATTTTTAATGGCACAGTAACGGGCCTATTTTATTATGCATTTCGGTATTTATGATAGTATCTAACGTATTCGTTCTTAGCGTGGGTTTATCCTAATACAAGTAGAAATTGGGCAAAGAGAAGAAACCGGACACACATACGGTTTCATAGGGTAGAAAGGGGAAAAATAATGCCACCAATTCAGTTAATGACAGTTTTCTAACAATAAGTCAGAAATGTCCAAATCTTAATTTATTATTAAGCTAACATTTCTGAGAGGTACAGTGGTTTCTAAAATCTTTACTCTTATTCTCAAAGGGAACCTCAATTTGAGAAAAGGCAAAATGGCGATATTATCATACGGACATGGTATTAACGCCAGCCACGTCTAAATTCGTTCTACTCAAATAAACTAACTTCATAGAGCTGAGCCTTTCTTCAGAAGCCGCGAATTGTGTAGCTACTCAAGAGCTTTCCAGCATATTATAGAACTCGAAGGTTCATTACCTTCTTCACAAGAGCCCTCCACTGGTCCATATCCTGAGCCAGATCAATCCAGTTGTAACCGATCTGCCGACCCCAGATGTATTTAATTTAGTAGCATGTTTTGATCCAGGTAAATTAACATGTTCGGCTAGGTTTACTTGTAACCTACAGCAAATGGACGAGAGGTACATGGGCTATTTCTTCCCCTCAAGAAGAAGTTTTAGTCCAAACTCTTCAATGAAAAAAAAAAAAAGACTGGTCAACGCAGACGCGAAGTAAAAGAGCTTGGTTCTTTAGA